ATATCGTCGAGTGAATTTAATTTTCGGCACAGCCCACAGTCAACTCTTTGACTTGTGTGTGTTTTTTTGGGTTTGTCACGGGCAAAGCTGTCAAGCAAAACAAAAAAATATTTTTGCCAGACCTTCGAAACTTTCCCATTTCCGTGGGCGGCGTTTGGCACTTGTCAAGCGGCGAAGGTGGCCTGTCCGATGGTAGTCCATGGAGTGTCTCTGTAAGGTCGCTGCGTATGTCTGTTGATGTGCTCGAAGGAACTAGACGAGTCGTTTAATTGTTGCTATGCGTGTGCGTATGTGTGTGTGTGTGTGTCTATTGTAATTGGTACTGAAATGTCATTCAATATGCCCGTTCAAGTTGATAACAATTTTCCTTTTGTCACTGAGAATTGGGTCTTGGTCGGACATGCGCACACGCATGAGGGTGTCAACGTCAGCGTCGGCGTCGGCGTCGGCGTCAGCTGATGACTAACCAGAAAGAGCAAGAAGAACGACAACAACAACAACTTCAGCTGCTATAACACATAATCAAATATTATTCTCATTTTCTAATGATGAATTCTTTAATTTTTTTTGTTTTTTGTTTTTCTGTTTTGTTTTCGGCCACTTGTCGACAACTGGGTCAAGTCTATGAGGAAAAACGTTTAGCTATAAAAAAGTGAAATCGCAGCTGTAATTAAATTTTAAACATTGTCACTGACTCACAATGTGTGTGTGTGTGTGTCCTCTCGCTCGATCTCCCTTGCTCTTCTTCATGCCTTCTCTTTCTCAAATTACCACTTACACTTTTGCTAAATAGCTTCTTGATAGGCGAGCGGAGGGACGGACGGACGTACTGAAAGGCTTTTGTAATTAGCCAACTTATTTGTATTGCTTATAAAACGTTTGTAATCAAGTGTTAATGCCTTGACAGCATTTACCTAAGCTCTGTTGCTGCTGATGATGATACTAATGATGATTATGACGATGGCATTGCTGTCTAGACAGGGGAGCAGTTTACTGCTTAAGGAGTTTAAGCAACAGTTTATAGAATTTGAAGAGAGAGCCCAAAGGAATATAAGAATTGCATTTAGTAATATTTTTTTTTTTGACTAATTTGAGTTGATTTTTAAGCAAATTCATATCTTACTCATTATTCATACTTCTATATATATAAACGTCTATAAGTGCACTTAAAAACTTGACTACTGCTGTTGCACTTCCTCAATGCATGATGACTCCTTAGTATTTTTGAAATTCTGTCTGACAGCTTAATTAATTTTAATTATAACCAATTTCACTTGTCTCGTAATCAGCTTATGAAAATCAAGAAATTATAATGAATTATACATAATGAACTGCATTTGCAGTTGTTGAACGCCCACTCTCTCTCTATCTCTCTCTCACTCTCTCGTTTTCTCACTCTTTGTAGCTAATTGCACAATCGCTTCATCAGCTGCAGACACAAAAGTAATCAATGGACCAGTTGTTGCAGCTGCAGTCTCCATCCTCCCCTCTCTCTCTCTCTCTCTCTCTCTCTCTCTCTCTCTCTCTGTTTCTCTCTCGTTCTTCTCTATATATATATACATATTTTGAGTGGGCTCAACTAAATGAAAAAGCTTCTTCATCAGCCAAAATGTTTGGCCATAAAAAGTCGCTATGAATCGTCGTCGTCTGGCTGCCCACAGGCAAACGCACTTAATATGCATTTCTCAATCGATCAATATGTCACATCTATCATTATATAATTCTATACAAATATTTCCCAATGCAACATTTTGGGCACAACGCGTCTAGCCAAATGCAGGTGACGCTGTTTGCCCACAAACTCAATTAGGCGTCTCGTCTCGTTGTTGGTGTGGCCACCTTTTTGATTTCAGCCCACCTCACACACACACACACACACACACACACACACACTTACACTGGCATTTCGCTTTGTTTGGCCTTAAGTTGTGTAAGTTGCGCTCAAAACTGAACTTGGGCCCCATTGACATTGCACTTTGCGTTTTTTGTTTTGTTGCCAATTGATAATTCCATCGCTTTTATTTGTTGACTGAAACAACTGTAAATAAGCAAAGCTTAAAAAATATAGAAAAAATTATAGGCATTAAATAATTTATAGCATAATATTTACTGCACATTTTGTTAAATATTTAAAAAAAAAATATTTAAAAAAATTATAATATTGTATTTATATATTAAAAAATATATACATATATATACAAAAATTAATTTGCTTTTGAAATTATAACTTGATAGTTTATTTAATTATTTTTCATATCTTTCGCACTTCTCAGCCTTTATTAATTCTTAATAACATCTACAAAATACAGTAATTAACTATAAATAAACAATCATTAAAGTTATCCAGCGTAGGCAACAAATTAAACCTGAGCTAATTGAGATTGATTGAGTTTCAAAGGCCTTCTATGGCAGCTGAAATAAATCTGAACAGCTGACCATATGAGAAGACACACACACACACGTAAAGCAATAAATAAATATACACATATATATGTTGTACATATATATTTATGTATGTGTGTGTGTGCTCATTTAATGCCCTTTGGGCATTTCCTTAGCCGCGTTTTAAATCGATTTAGAGTAAGGAAAGAATAAAACCGTTAATAACGGATTCTCTGTGACTGAGTGGCGCACGCTGACCACAATGAAAATCCGTTTTGCGACTCACCTCAGCGCATCTCATCTCTACTCAACACAACTCAACTCAGCCTCACCCACCAGCAAAACCCGCTGAAATCTGACTAAGCCAACGATCCGACATACATAGTATAGCATATTAATGCCCCAGAGATTATGCCAAAAACCAACAAGCTATATTGTTTACCGTTTTACACAAAAAGAGTAAAGAGATAAATTTAAAAAAAAAAAAACAAGAATGAAATAAACAGAAGGAAAAAGAAACACAGAAGAGGCGAAAAATTGTATATTTATGCACTTCAACGCCAGAGCTAAAGTTTGGTCCCGCAGCACACAGAACGAACTTCTTCAACCGCAAAATAATGAGTTGCACCAAAGCAAAAAAAAACAAAAGCAAAAAAAAATATGTTGAAATAAAATAAAACAAAGAATTTCAAAATGAAATAAAGTCTCAGTTTAAATACTCTATAAAATATAGGATTGAAGAAGAAAATACTGAAGAAAATAATTTATAGAAAATATAGAAACTAAAATATATGTGCTAATATAGAGAAGATAGATGGTAGATAAGAAGTTAGAATGAAAATAGAAAATGGGACCTGGAACATAAAAAGGAAACGTAGAAGATTCAAAGTTGGAAGGTAGAAGAAGAGCAACAAAAACAGTAGATGGAGAATGGAATTAAAAGGTAAATGGAAGACGAAAGATAGATACAACATTTTAAAGATTTACTTTAACTCTGAGTAATTAAATTTGTCAAAATACAGTTAGCGAGACACGACTATCGATGTACTTACTCTCTGCTCCTCGAAAGTATATCAAATGTGAAGAGCTCCTATGTATTTCCGTTACCTATATGATGACACATTTATAAGATATCATCATCATCATCAAGTGTATTCATATGAATAAAGCTGAGAAGAGAGAGAGAGGGAGAATCGCAACCAAAACAAAGGCCAGACATGAATCGGAACAGCAAAGCTTTGGGGCCCAAAGCAAGATTTTAACATTATCATATGACGGACGGACATAACTCGACGAGACGCGACGAGACGAGACGAGACGCGACGCGACGCCTTGTCTTCGAAAAGTTTTAGGTCAAACCGCAGTCAGAATTTGCAGTTGCAGTTGCAGTTGGAGTTGGAGTCACAGCTCCTGGCTAACAGCAACGATGGCTTGCAGTTGAGTGCGTTGTCTGTCCCTGTTAGTTGGCCGTCTTCGTTGTCGTCGTCGTCGTCTGGCTGCATCCTGCGTAGAGAGCATATTAAATTTCAGAACCTAGCCTGGAACAACAGCTGTGCGCGCGTCGCCTCTGGGCCGAGACTTGAGCGCAATGCGAAACCTGTTTTTCTTTTGTTGTTTTCAAAGCCCAGACTCAAGCTCGGACTTGGAACCGGGCCCTGGCAACGACAGACGGCCGACGGCAGACAAACCAGACGACGGCGGACGGCAGCTGTAAACAATCAGAGCTAACTGCATGGCAGGCACTCAGCCATGAAAAATGAAAAATGAATGATGATAATGACGATGATGTAGACGAATGAAGTTGGAGACGTC